AGAGAGAGGGGAGGGAGGAGGGCCAGAGAGGGGAGGAGGGAGCAGAGTGAGGAAGGAGAGTAGGAGGGCAGAATGAGTGAGAGGGAAGAAGGAAGGCAGAGCTAGGAAGAGGGGGAGAGACAGCTGCAGGAGCATATAGAGTTGCCTGGGTTCTGGGCACACGTGTGTTCTGTAATCTCAGCTTGGTCTTCCATGCTGCACATCAGTCCTTTTTGCTCTCTGCTCCACTCTGTAGCCCAGTCCCCGCGGCATCTGTTCCAGAGCTTTTCTCCTCTCTAGTCAGCCATAGCACAGCTCCCCCACCCTCCCCAGCAACAAGGGCTCGCCTCCTACTTTCCCAAGCTCCTTCTTCTCTCAATCAACACCTCCAGTCACCTCCAGCTCACCCCTACTCTTCCTTTATTTCAGAGGAAGAGATGACGCTTCCCCTCTCCTAAGCCAACCTTTTGGTCTGGGCCCCTGATCCCATCTCTTCCTATCTCCTCTAGGTATCGCGGTCTCACTCGCTCCCTTATTTTCAATCTCTCCTTCTCTACTGTTTACAAACATTCCCCAGCCTAAAAACAAAACCACAACCCAAGCTCCCAAACCTTTCACTTTGCTCTTACCGCCTCCCTGCTCCGTTCACAGCTGCACTTGTAGAAGGCTCATGTCCCTCCTCCCTCTCCCCAAATCCTGCTAATAACTTGTTTTCTTTTTTTAATTTTTTTAACAACTTGTTTTCTTGCAGCCACCTTCCAACTCCCCCGCTCTACCCAGGCTGCTTTCTCCAAGGGTGCCAATGATCTGTTCAATGCGAAACGTCACCTTTTCTCAATCTTGGTCCCTGTTTTCTGGCTAATCAACTTCTCGGCACCTTTTGACGCTGCCTACCATCTCCATCCCTTAGGAACTCCCTTCCCCCTAGGCCTCCATGCTCTGCCTTGTTTTTCCTTCCTGCCTGCCCCAGCTCTGCCTCTGTGCCTTGGCATCCCTGTGTCTGGAGTGCACTCCTTCCTAACATCTGTCTTGTAGGGCCCCCAGCTTCCTCCAAATACAATTCAGGGGCCCCGCCCACAGGAGGCTCTTCCTCTTCAGCCATCTGATCCTCCCCATTTTTTGTTAGCACATCTAGCACATCTCTCTCTTAAAATTACTTTACATCTACTTAACACTTTGTTTTATTCTCCCCAAATAGAACATAAGCCCCTTGAGGATGGGGCTGGTCTTAGTTTTATCTTTGTATTTCTAGTGCCTAGCACTGGGCATTGCACATAGTATGAGGTGGTTAGATTGCTTGATCTATGTTGTGAGTGTGGGTGCTTCCCCTACTGAACCAGTGGGCAACCTTTCCCGGGCTCAGTAGGGGCTCTTTAAGAGTTATGAGGGCTGAAGAATGCATCACCCTTTGGCCCTTACTCCAGATCTTTCCAGCTTAGTAGTACCTGGCAGACCTTAGATTTCACTGATAAATCAGGTCCCTTGAGAACCCAGGCTCCTTTCCATATCAGGGTTAAGGCAATGAAATTGGACTTTGGTGGGAAACAAAGTTCAAATAAGACTCAGACATTTTCCTCAAGGATCATAAGATTGTAGTTGTAGCAAAGGAAATGACTTTAGAGGTATCAACCAGTTCTCGAATTTTACAGATGAGGAAATTGAGGCTCACAGGCAGAGGTGTAGGATTATGAGGTTGGAATGCTGGAACATCTGGCCCACACTCAGTGCTTGCCTATGCTAAGGGGGGGGGAGGTGGTGGGTGGTGTGTGATAATATTTGTAGTCAAGTGACTACAAGCCAGTATATGGTAAGCATCCTAATAGAGATACAAGCAAAGAGCCATGGGAAGTGGAAGGCATTTAGTGTGCTAGCGTGCCTATGTGCCACAGCTTCATGACCAGGGTACCGATTGTTTATGGGCCACCTTTAACGAGAGTGGGGCAAAAGCGTCCAGAATTTGCAGGGCCAACTCTTCGGTCTTTATCTTGATAAAGATGAAGGGCTCTGGGACCCATCTGGATGGCAGCAAGGGAAAGAGCCGTCAGGCTCAGTCAGTAGACCTGGATTCCGAGGCCCTCTGCTGCATATCAGCCATTTGCGTTAAGCATTTGAGCCCCAAGGGTGCTCATTTGCAAAATGGGGATAACATCTGCCAAACCAGACTGCTGGGTGGATCACGTGATGTGATGCGGAACGTATTTGTAAGTGATTTGCAAACTATAGTAGCTGCTCCGCTCCAAATGAAGAGAGCAACAACCTGTGTGGGGCGCTGGAGTCTGCCACAGGAGCCAGGGCCCGTTCCTATCCTCTAAGTGACCTTGGATATTTAACCTCACAGTGCCTCGGTTTCTTCCTGTGTAAAATCAGGAGGTTGAACTAGGTGGCTTTGCGGTTCCTTCGAGTTGTGACTGGGTGACCATATCACAGGCTCTCTAGTGTTAGGAAGGCTCCCCGGGAACCATCTGATCCAGCCACCAGCCCTGGCAGGGATTAGGTGGCTTCCGCAACCCTCTAGTGCGGGACAGCTCACTAGCTACGGAGGCAGCCCTTGGAAGTCGGGCGCAGCCCCCCGGGGTCCCCTGCAGCTCCGAAGTGTGTCGAGACGGTGCCGGCTGGGCAGCGCGCCTGCATGTGCTTTGGTCGTCACCGGGGGGGGGGGGGGAAGTTGGAGGGCAGGCGGCCCGCTTGGCAGCCAGATCGGGTCTAGCTCAGAGAGCCCCGGATCTGGAGGCGGCGGCGTGCCCGGCTGGGGGCGAGGAGCCGCGCCTCCCTCTTCTCACCCGCCTGCAGGCGGGGCTGCCAGGCGGCCCGCCCGCCCGCCCGCCCGGCCGCCCGCCGCAGTCCGGGTCCCCGGCGGCCAGGCGCGCGGGGGGGGGGGGGCTGCCGCTGCTGCTGCTGGGGTGGGTGGCTGGCTGGCTGGCTGAGCGGGGACACGCCGGCACTGGCACGTTCCCGAGCCGCGGGCGTCTTTCCGGCCCGAAGGACAAAGGTCACCGAGCGCCAAGGCTGCGCAATCAAACGCCGAGAGGGGGCCAAGGCAGGTGCATCGCGCACCTACCCGGGGCCAGGGGTCGGGGCCGCGCCCGCGTGAGCCGCGCCGTGGCCGCCGCCGCCGCCGCCGTCAGGCGGGAGGCAGCAGGCAGCCATCGGGCGGGGCCATTGGGCGGGAGTCCCGGCGGCGGCAGCCATGGCAGGCATGGCGGCCGCTCGTGGTAGTCCTTAAGGCCTCGGCGCGTCCGCAGCAGCGGCGGCGGCGGCGGCGGCGGCGGGAGGAGAAGGCGGCGGCGCCTTCGGGGACTGCAGCAGCAGCAGCAGCAGCAGCCGCCGCCGCAGCAGCAGCAACAGCAACAACCTCAGCAGCAGCAGCCGCCCCGCCGGCGCCGCAGCCGCCGCCGGCGCCATGGGGGCGGGGCCGGCTGAGGCAGCGCGGAGCCGCCGCTACCTTAAGGGCCAACAGACGACCCCCGAGCTGAGCGCCGACGAGGGCGGCGGCGGCGGCGGGGAGAGCGGGAACGGCAGCGGCGATACTGCTTCCAGCACCGGCGGGGCCTTGGGGAGCACGAGCGCGGGGGGCACCGCTACGTCGGCCGGAGGCTGCGGCCTGCTGCTGCTGCGGGAAGGGGTCGATGGCAGCGGCGGCAGCAGCATTGGAGGAGGAGGAGGAGGCGGAGAAGAAGGAGGAGGAGGAGGAGGCGGAGGCGGTGACTGTGTCGGCGACGGGGATAGCGAAGCCGACGGCGACACTCTGGCCTTCCCCATGCACACTCTATGGTACGGTGTTCCGGGGCCCCGGTCACGTGATGGGGGGCCCGGGGGGGTCCCCGCCTGCTCCTCACGTGACCCCGGCCGCCGCCGCCGCCGCCGCTGCTGCTGCCTCCCCAGCCGTAGCCGTAGCCGTAGCCGTTGGCGTCGCGAGGCGCGGGCGGCCACCGTCCCGGGGGGCGCGGGCCCTGGCAGACGCGGCCGCTCGCGGCCCTCCGAGCCGGTAGTGGCAGGTCAGAGGCCCCTGCTTCCGGTCCCCGCCCGTCACCGCTCCCCCACCGCTCTACCCCACAGTCGCCCCCCGCCCCCGGCTCGGGTCCCTGCCGCCCCTCTGCTGCCGCCCCTCTGCTGCCGCCGCCGCCGCCGCCGCCGCCGCCGCCGCCGCCGCCCCGGCCCCGGCCCTGGCCGACCTGCCGCGGAGCGCCCTGGCCAGCCGGCTTGGGGCCCGGGTCCGGGGAGACAACTCGTCCGCGCTCCTGCCACCGCCCGCGTCCCCTCCCCGGCCGGCCCCTCGCCCGGCCCTGGCCCCGGTCCCCTTCCCACCGGTTCCCCTGCTCCCTCCGCTCCCTCCCATCGGGCCGGCCTCTGGAGGATGGGGCCGCGACTTCGGCCGATGGGGCGCTCCGGCCTACCTGCTGGGGGCCACAGGGTCTGCGTAAGGGGATGGGAGGGATCCGGGGGCTGGCGGGTGGACGGGCCGGGGCCGGGGTTGGGGCCGGGGTTGGGGCCGGGGCTGGGGCCGGGGTTGGGGCCGGGGCCGGGGTCGTGGCCGGGGCGGGGGTGGGGGTCAAGGTGTGCCCGAGGCGATCCGGCGGCCTGATAGAGAGCCCGAGGTCAGTAGTTGTTAGTGGCCGAAGCAGGTAACGGAACTAACGGGTGCCCCTCGCCCCCCCCCCTTCCGGCAGGGAGCCGTCCTTCTGCACTAGGCTGGGAAACAGGATCCACTCTGGTTACAATGTAATAATCCAGCTCCCAGCTGGGTGCTGATCTGAGGCAGGATGCGGTTCGGGGGGGGGGCCCCCCCGCAGCCTCCGTCTTGGCCCGGTTCCAGAGCAACCTAAGTCGGGGAAAAAAGGCTTACATTAAGGGCGTGAAATCGATTCCACCTGATTATAAATTAGGCTCCTTATCTCACCCTTCCAGGATGATGGGGAAAGTTCGCTGTTGAGGGCATTAGAGTGGAACAGCCTCTTTTTGTCCTAAAGTTCTCATGCTAATATAATTGCAGGTCGAGCATGTGCGTGTGTGTGTCCGTCCCATTGTTTATAAAGTATAAACATTTCTCATTTATGTGGCACTTTAAGGTTTACAATACCCTTGTCTTGTATTATCTCATTCAACCCTCCTGGGACCCTGTGAGGGAGATTCTGTCATCCCCATTTTACAGATTAGGAAGACAGGGTCCAGTGACTTACCCAGAGTCAAACAGCCAATAATGGCCAGAAGTAGGATTTGAATCCAGCTTTTCCAGGTGCCAAGTCCAGCAGCTGATCCTCTAAGTCCCCAGTCTCTTTGGGACTAGCTGTCCTTAGGACAAGTAGTTTGGTGATTAAATGGCAAAGACCCTGTTGGGGGGAGGGAGACCAAAGGGGATTGAGTTTAAGACAACAGAGCCAACATGTAACACTCAGATTCTATCCTAGCTAAGCCTCTTCCCAATTTTGCACTAATTGGAAATAGTATTAGTTGTCATTGGACCATGGATACTCTTTCTTTTTAATTTTACAGGTGGGTGATGCCAATCACAGCCATGAAGAAAAAGGTAAGCATCCTAAGACCATCCAAAAGCAACTGTGCACGAAGGCTAAAGTTCTGAAACGTTTGGGCCAGGGACTGAAGGCTGATAATGGCCCAGGCCTGATCGTGCCCCTGTTTCCTCCGTGCCCTTCCCAGTCTGGCTCCACCTGGTCTTTCTAGCCTGATCTCCTCCTCTCCCTCCTGCATCTCTGGCTAGTCCCCATCCATGACCTTCTGCCTTCCCTGCCCAGTTGTCTGCCTCTTGGGATCCTTGCCCTCCCCCTGGAGACTCAGCCAAGTGGCACCTCCTATGGGAGGCCTTGCTGGTCCTCCTCCTCCTCCTCCTCCTCCCCCTCCCACTGCCCCCACCCCAACTTGGTAGAAGTCTCCCTACCCAGAAAATACTTTTCATTTCCTTATCTCTGAATACTTTCCATCCTAGCATGGAGCTCCTTGAAAACAGACTGGATTGTTTCTGTCTTTGTATCCTGGCTAGGCCAAGGCCAGTCTTGCACACGACGTGTTTAATATGGATGTTGGTTCGGATTGCACATAGGTCTTTAATACATGTTAGATTGAAATTTATGCACGTGTAGTGACTGCTAGTCATTATTGAGTTTCTTAAGGGTTTTACTTTTAAGGAAATATGCTTGTATGTGGTAGGGTATTTAAAGACATTTTTACTAAGTTCTCCACTAGAGTCCTACTACGATACTAGTGGGGAGGCCCTTGAAAAAGTTTTTAGTTCAATTTTCTTTCAGTCATCAAGTGTTTATTTTTCCTCTATTCCACCCCCTTCCCCCCCCCAAAAAAAAAAGAAGAAGAAAACCCTTGTAACATATATGCATAGTCAAGCGAAACCAATTTCCCTTCATGTGTCCAACCCTGCCTCCCTGGCAGGAGGGGCACCGCTATCTCTTGGAGACAGGACCAATGAAAGGACCTCTTCCTGAGGCCGAGGCCGATGAGGGCCATTCCAGTCACCTTGAGAAAGTGGGATGAAGCATGGGATGAAGGTCATTCAAGCTTAGCTGCACTCCATGGGCAGTGAAGCAGCTCTGACTAAATTCTGGGTCTCAGGTCACAGGATTTCAAAATAAAACACCTTTGCCATTTTCCCAGTAGGTAAAACTTCAAGGGGAATGTTTCTTCCTTGTAAATTTTACTTAAGGGGGAAAATGTGTGAAGGTCTGTCTTTCACAGACTGGTTATTTGTGATTTGGGGAAAGAATCCCAAACTAAACCAACCCATCCCTGGCCTTTCCCCGACCTGCTCCTCAGAAAGGGCCTGCTACTCTCTGTTGGGACAATTTCCTCTATTGGATTGATTTATAGGCTGAATTCCTTGAATGTCTGATGCAATTTTTATCATTCCTCTCCTGATATTTGCAACCAGAAAGTCTTTATTTTGCGTTTGGGGATCGAATGTGGTATTTATAACCCCTTGATGTCAAAAGCAAGGTCATAAGATTGTATATTTACATGTGGATAGGACCTTAGTGTCCCACTCTCCAGTTGTGCAGATTGGGAAACTGAGTCCCAGATTGGGGAAGTGATGGGTTTCATGTCATCCAAGTGGGAAGTAGAAGAGCTAGCTTTTCTGCTTCCAAATTCAGCACTTTGCGCTGCCCTGGGGGCGGGGAGCTTAGAGGTCAGTCATCTCCAGGCCCCCCCCCCAGCTAATTTCCACCAGAATTTTGGAGAGTGAGGGGGAAGGGCTTAGGGGCATCTGTTCCCTCTCTCTGGACATCCACCCTTTACTCGAGTGGTGTCTCTCTGGTACCAAGTAGCGCGCTTGGCTCCGAAGGCAGGCCTAAGGATTACGTTTGGTTCCGATCTGAAACTCTCAGCTGGCTTCCTTGTGCCATTTGGAGATGCTTCAATCCTTTCACCTTGGACTTCATCCCGATTTATTCTTATGTGTTAGATTGAGAACACAGGTGAGAAGATGTTGGTCGCCGTCCTGACTTCTCACAGGTCAACCAGATTTCTGTTACTATCATTCAACAAACATTTCTTTAAAAAGAAAAAAAAGATTTACTGGTATCTTTTGATTTTAAATCTCTTTCATTTCCAATTACATCACTCCCCTTCACCTACCCAGAGAATCATACCACGTTATAAAGAATTTTTAAAAAGTAAGAAAAAACACCAGGTCAGCAAAACCAAGGATTACCTCAGCCAAGGCCAACAGTCTGCAGAGTTCACAGGGCGTTCGTAGGTGGACGATAGGCGAAGCATTTTTGTGCGTGCTGGTGGGAAGGAGAGATGCTCACCTCATGGAACTTTCATCATTCTTTCTTTTTCTCCTATAGGGAGGGTTGGGTTTCACCTCGATTGCTTAAGTGGTCTGGTTGATGTTTTCATGATCATGGATGCTGGTCAAACTCCCGGCATTTTATCTTAGGGGTATACGGGGAAGACAGAGCAGCAATTTCTCTCTCTTCTGTTATCATTTAATTTTGTCTCTGTCTCTCTCTGTCTCTGTGTCTTACTCTCTGTCTCTCTCTGTCTCACTCTCTGTCTCTCTCTCTCTCTCTCTCTTAAACAACCAGTCTCTTTCTCGAGTCTCTCTTCGCCGTGGCCAGTGGAGTCACTGAGCCAGAGGGCACAGACAGTGCTGTAGCTCTTAATGACCCAGTTCATTGGGAAGTCCATTGTCCTGCCGGAGATTTTACATGGATTCTAAGACAGTTGTAACTTGTTTGTGCTTTGTTTCTGGAGCCTGCCTCCCGTCCTGGTGTCCCAGCTTTATCAAAATTGGAATAGACGTGAGTGAGAGGGGCAAGAACCTTGTGAAGTTTTCCAGGGACAGGAAGGTAAAGGGGGGCAGTATGCCCAGAAGCAAAGCAGGAACCTCTGTAGTGATAGCTCTGTTCTCTTAGTTCACCTTGCATCCCTTGCATTGGCCTTTGACTGTGAGGTCCCAGGGTTTCTCTTTCAATAGAGGTTTTCTCTACACTGCTTAGCACAGTGGTTCTGTATAGGTTAAGGACTGAAGAAATGAACTAGTGCCCCAAGGTGGTATGGGACAAGGACAGTGCCAGGAAGGTAGCTGGCACCCAGAATTCCAGGCATCCGCCTTGGCTTAGTAGACACCTTCTGGTCTAAAGTTCTTTGCACTGTACCAAGTGTGGCATCAGTGCTACTACTTGTACACCAGTGTAGCTGGCTACTGATTACGGGCAGCATTTCAATAAAATGTCCAATGGGAGAGAAACAGGGGTGCCTGCATTTGTGAGTCACTTGAAGTGAACACTTTGCTTTCCTCTGTTATTAAATAGGTGCTGTTGATGGGGAAGAGTGGGTCTGGCAAGACCAGCATGAGATCGATCATCTTTGCAAACTATATTGCCCGAGACACCCGCCGCCTTGGGGCGACAAGTAAGTTCCTTCCTCTTTGCCTCAAATCCTAAAGCCACAGCCCCCGGAAACAGGATTTCACTAGTTGGCCTTTGATTTTTTAGAGGCCTCTTTCTTCAGAACACAGGCCTGTTTCCTTGGGGAACCAGATAGCTGCAGAAAATGGCCCCTACCGTATCTCCAAGAGGAGATGCTACTTGGCAGAGATTCTAAGGGAGCTGGTGGGCCAGAGGACAGGGTTGCACCGTTGACGCTCTCTTCCCCCACCCCAAGGTATGTGTGTTTCAGCTTGGATAACTTGGGAGATACTTCTTGGTCACAATAACCCTAGCTCTTGGGCAACCTAGTTCCCATGTAAGCATGGCACTATGCATTGATCAGCTTGAAGATTCTCTCCTTGCCAGGCAGCCTTTTTCCTCGGCTTCTGTCTTTCTGCTTTCATTCCCTGGTAAAAGCCTGGAGGCCAGCAAGGAGGTGCTTTGGCGCTCAGGGTAGTCCCCATACTTTGGAGGTGGCCTCGTGCTAAAAGCACCCACCCTTGGCCTTTTTAGTCCTTCGTAAGCCTCTAGGGTGGTTTTCTAGACCTCCTCACAAAGGGTTTTCACGTATCACATTGAATCTGAGAGCTGAAAGAAAAATCAGGGGTCATCCTGTCCAGCCTGCAGCTGAATGTCGTTCTAGCCTCTCTCCCGGCAGTTTGATAAGGAGAGGTGCTTTGACCTAGGAGAACCAGGGCTGGCCCGGAAGTCAGGAAGACCCGAATTCGAATCCTGTTCCTTCTGCTGGTATTGGAAATCTGGGTTAGAGACTAGATAGTTTTCTCCCTCCTCTTCTGTTTTCAGAGAGTTTAACTGTCTTTGTCTGAGGCTTAGGTATTCAGACAAGTTTATTTCTCCAGCCTTTGGTAAGTATAATCTATCCTTGGCCAAAAGGAAAAAAAAAAAAAAAGGAAACCAGCATTTATTAAGCGCCTACCCTGCCCAGGCACTATGCTGAGAGCTTTACAAATATTATCTAATTTTATCCTCACAACAACCCTGGGAGATAGGTGTGATTATTACCCCCATCCTACAGTTGAAGAAACTGAGGCAGACAGAATGACTTGCCCAAGGTCTCACAGCTAGGAAGTGTCTGAGGTCAGATTTGAACTCATCTTCTTGACTCCAGGCCCAGGGCTCCATCCACTGAAGCACCTGGCTGCCAAAAGTTTATAAGAAAGCTGCCTGTATCAGTGCTTTGCACATAGTAGGTGCTTGTAATTTCCGGGCTTTGATGACTTTTTGCTTTGAGCCAGCAACTCTAGGCCATCCTGGGATTGTTCTTTAACAACTGGCCAGAGCTCTCCCCTTGCTACCTGAGGCTGTCCTGCCACTGGTCCTGGTTTGAGCCTGCCCACCCCCAGCTAATTGTGGACAACAGAGCAGTACACCCAGAGGGATATTTTAGGGAGATTAGTCTGGTAGGGAGGTGGGAGTTGGCGTAGTGAATGGGACCCTGGAGTCAGACGCTGCCCGGCTATGTAACCTTTGTCATATGAGGGCCTCTGAAGTGTCTGAGACCAGTTCTACTATTGCTATAATCCAAAGGTGGCAGAGATATAAAACGAGCAATGAATAGGACTGGGTCACTGCTTTCTAATGTAGGCAAAGTCAGAGGCATGGGGGAGAGTTCAGAGGTTCCTCAGAACTGTGCTCGGCGGTGACCATGGTAAGAGAGAGCAGGAGTCAGTAGCCCCTAGGATTTCATCAAACCTGGCTTGAGTGTCAGAGGACCCGGGCTCAAATACCACGTTTGACCCTCCCCCTCTCAGGAATTCCATTTCCTGCTCTATACAATTGGGGAATTAGACTAGGTCACCTCCAGGGTCCCTTCTAGCTTGTGAATCCATGACCCTATGAAGGGAAAGATGGAAGAGCTGAGAGGGGTGATGCGTTCATTCTTTGAGGCCATCAGCAAGCATCTAGTAAGCACCTTCTCTGTGCCAGGCACTGTGCTAAGCCCTGGGGATACAAAAAAAGGCGAAAACACGGTCTCTGCCCTCCAGCAGCTCCCAGTTTAACGGGGGAGAGAATAAGCCAACAGTTCTGTAGAATTAAGATAGAGACGGTGCCCATAGGAAGTCAAAGGGGAAGGCAGGGAGGTAGGGAAGGTGGCAGGAAAGGCCTCCTGCAGAAGGGCACATTGGGGCTAAGGAAGCCAGGAGGCAGGCGTGAGGAGAGAGAGCACTCTAGGCATGGGGCACAGCCTTTGCAAAGGCAAACAGTTGGGACGTGGACTGTTCCGTACAAGGGAAAACTGAGGAAGCCACTGCTGGAGCTTAATGCCATAGAATCTGGAGGAGAGGAAGATGTAAGAGTGTTGTTTGTCCTTCATTCTCGAAGAGGACCATGACATCAAGAAGATGATGCCATGACGTGCAAGTGAATTGGATCTCAGTGAGGGAGGGCTGTGCAAAGTCACCAGCCTCACGTTCTCCTCCTGGAGCCCTCTGGGTCCAGTGGCCAGATATCAATCAGGACGACTGGAGATGGCCCCTGGAAGGAGTGAGAAGACTGGCAAGGGAGGAAGGGGCTGGGTCATGAAGGGCTTAATTTATAGAGTAGCGGGTGCTGTAGGACAATCACTTTGGCCGCCGAATGGAGGATAGATTGGAGTGAAGAGAGACTAAGGCAGGGAGAGCAAGCAGAGTGCTGCTGCAGTGGGCTGGGGGTAAGGTGACGAGGGCCTGTGGGGCAGCTGCAGTGGGAGTGGAGATGGGAAGGGGAAATGATTGGATGTGGCAGGGGAGGGGCAGTAAGGATTTGACGAGCCTGGGTGGCTGGGAGGATGCTGGGACCCTTGACAGGGCGAAAGGAAAATAATAGGAACATTGAGAAGAGGGAAGGGATTGGGGTTCGCGTTCAGATGCCCGCAGGACATCCGACTTGAGATGTCCAAAAGGGAGGTGGTGACATGAGGCTGGAGCTCAGGAGAGGAATAAGGTCTGGCTAGATGTGGCCCTCCACATAGTGAGGAGTCAGTGGTGTAGGAACCATAACTGGGCCCATGGGAGTCAGGCCATAAAGAGGGAAAAGAGCAGAGCCCAGGACAGAGGGCCCCTCCAACTTAGTGTGGCTGACTTGGCCGAGGACCAGTAAAGGAGATGGAGAAGAAACCATCAGAGACGGGAGGAGAACCGGAGACCGGGATAGAGCTTAGGCGGGTGGAAGGGCTGAGCGGCAGCGGCAGGGGCCGCAATAGAACCGGCATCCTTGGGAGTCCCACAGATTGGATTTTAGGCATTTCAAACCGTTTTCCTGAGAAGGTGGTCATTAGACTTCAGCAGATAACTGCAAGAGTCTGTGATAACAAAAGGTTCAGAATCCCAGGGTTAAGGAACGTGGAGAGGGGACCACTGGTGGCTGCTGCCGAGATCAAGCCTGTGACCTTCTCTGCGGTGGACCAGAGCAGGAGGTCGTGGGAAAGAAGTAGGTTGAGGACATGGATAATTGGGATACTGGAATGGGGAATCAGGGTGTGTGAGTGAAGGAGAGAAAGGCAGTGAACCAGGCCAAGAACTCATCGATGAAGGAGGGGGACTGACCGGGGGCTCAGGAGCCGATGGCCTGTGGGGTCTGAACTGCCGGGGCCCTCCGAGGAGCGATCGCTGACGCGTGGCGGCGGAGGGAGGGTCTGGCGCTGGCACGGGGCAGCGAGAGTGTTCTAGCGCCCCCAGCTCAGCTACTCGTTTGTTACGTTGGAACACGCAAATAGAAGGCAGGGCCACGAAGGAGGAACAAGGACGCCCAGCTTCTGAGCCTGACTGACTCACCTCGGATCTTGGGCTTCTTCCTTTGTGCCTGGTTGGAAATCCTGCTCCTCTGGCCTTGAGCATTAACAATGCTGAGCTCCAACTTAGGGAGACCCGGGTTCAAATCCTCCCGCCAGCACCGTGTGATCAGGGCAAGGCACTTCCTCCTGTGCATCTTGATCTCATCTGTAAGATTGGGGCCTGTGGTGCCTTCCTCAGACGGTTGTTGTGACGCTCAAGGAAGGTCATAGACGTAAAGTCTTTGGCCAGACACAACACGCACGCGCGCGCGCACACATGTGTGCCATTCGGCAAGCAGTCCTGGTGACTCTTGGTGGCCGGCCAGGTGGGGGAGGGCCCTCCTCTAGGCCAGCCTGGGGCCCTGGCTCTGTGCTCACACGTTCTGCTTGGGCTTCCCAAAGTCAGGCTCCCCTCTGTGCCGTCACAGGAGGGTTTTGCCATTAGACGTCAATCCTGTCCTTGGTGGAATGTCTCCCTTTTCTTGCAATGATTCTAATTCTCTTCTATTTCTTTTCCAGTTGATGTGGAACATTCTCATGTTCGATTTCTGGGAAACCTGGTACTGAACCTCTGGGACTGTGGTGGGTAGGTATCATTTGCCTTCTCAGGTACCAGACCAGTATGGGTCAGCAGAGCAGCAGGCTAGGCCCCGACTTCCCCAACTCAAGGTCTTCCTGACTCTAAGCCTGGAGCCATTTCCTTGCAGTGGCGTGAGGGTCGGAGTGGCCCTGGGGTGCACACTCAGTTGTGTAGCAAACGGAAAGTTAGGTGGGCTGATTAAAGACACCAGGCCAGGACCACCTGTCTCTGGGGGCTCTGTGCGTTCTAAGCTCCTTCAAGGGCTCTACCTTTGCTCATCTTCATCATTGGCCTGCTACTTGAGAGATGTCCCTTGGCTGTATGAGATTCAAGTGGTCACATGTACCTGAACCCATCCATTTCCCCCTCCCTTAGCTGTCTAGTCCCACATCATCTGTTTTTGTTTTTATTTTTTTTGGTGGGGGGGTGGGGGGTGACGAAGAGAGTCTTGGTATCAAATACTTACTAGAAGTTCCACATCCAGAATCCACAGAGGACTGACCCAGATGCCCAAGATTAAGAGCCAGCTCCCAAAAGAATTGTGAACTGATCCAGCCATTCTGGAGAGCAATCTGGAATTATGCCCAAAGAGTTAATAAACGACCTGTGCCCTTTGACCCAGCAATACCACAACTAGGTCTGTTTCTAAAGATGATGAGGGGAAAAGGACAAGAACCTATGTGTTCTGAAATATTGATAGCAGCTCTCTTTGTGGTGGCTAAGAATTGGAAATTGAGGGGCTGCCCATCCATGGGGAATGGCTGAACAGGTTGTGGTGTATGAATGTGATGGAGTGCTATTGTGCCGTAAGAAATGGTGAGCAGCCGGACTTCAGAAACACCTGGAAGGACTTACACGAAATAATGAAGAACAAAATGACCAGAGGATGGGGCCAAAGAGCGAGCAGAAGAGAAGTCGGGCATTCTTCAGTTCTGCTGAAGGGCTCTCCGTGTGACGGCTGAAACGGGCTGGAGGGGAAGCTTCCAGGCCTCCCTGCTGGAGAGCACAGATAAAGTGCCCTCTCGTTGAAACAAGCTGGCTTCTCTTCTCAGTGGGAGCAGGGGTAGATATTTCCCACTCCACCCCAAAAAGCCCACAGGCTCGGGGGGGGGGGGGGGGGCTCTGGAAAGCTGCTGGTTTGGCTGAGTCCACTTGGGCCCTGCTTTGCAGAAAGTCCTCTTAGGCAACAGTTCTGTGGTGTCTTCCTCGCTCGCCCGGCCAAGTGTCGGGATGTGGATTATGGTGCTTGTGCCCAGCCGCTTTCAGCTTCCTTTCCCACAAAAGGAGCCTACAAAGGTCACTGACTTTTCAGAAATGAATTATTTGAGGTTGCGCCTTCTGTTCCAAGCCAGGCGGTCCCATCCGGGGCTCATTCCCTTCACAAGCACCTAGGCATCCTTTCTTCCCCAAAGGCTTACTAACTTTGGCTAACAGCTTTTCTTGGAAACCTGAAGGCGCCCGTTCTTTACCTCATTCGTCCTGCCTTTTTTTTGACAGGGTGTGCTTGCTTTCTTCAGCAAGCTTTCCTGAGTGGAGGAAGGGGAAGGGAAATGAGCATTTATATAGTGCTAACCATGTGCGAGGCACTGTGCTAAACACTTTACAAATATTAACTCATTTGCTCTTCACAACACCCTGGGAGGGACGTGCTAGGATCTCCCCCCTTTTCCTGTTGAGGAAACTGAAGTAGACTTTCCCAGGGTTGTCCAGCTAGTGAGTATCTGAGGTTGGATTGGAACTCAGGTCTTCCTAGCTGCCTCAGGAGGGCCGTTGGTATGCCTCTCTGATGCCTAATCCAGAACTAGGTAGTGGGCAGGGCACCTTTTCATTCGTTCATTCGTTCATTCATTCATTCATTCGCCAAATGTTCCTTGAGCTCTTCTTTAGCACTTAATGCAGGGGAGCGGGGCTAGGGGACCGTGTGGGTGGATGTAGAGGATGTGTGTGCTCCCTCTTCTAGGAGCTTGGGATGTCCTTGGGAAGATGAGGGAGGCCTACACACGGAAACGTTGGAACAGCAAGCATTCCAAGGGAACCGGGGGTCCAAATGAATAGTGGAAACAGTGGGCTTTCAGAAAGGAAGAGAGTCATGCATGGAGTTGGACAGGGCAGGATGGCAAAGAAGCCAGGGCCTCAGCTGCTCCTTGTAGGGGGTGGGGTAGGAGTTGAATGGGGGGGGGACGTATTTTAGGGACAAGGAAAGGGCTTGGCTAGTGGTAGGGAGGAGGGGCAACAGCTGAGCAAAGGTGTGGAGGTAGGAAGGAGAATCAGATATTCTGGGCACAGTGAGTAGACTGGCCTTGCTAGGTTTGGAGGGCTTTCTCAATGCAAGCAGGCCCGCCTTCCCCTCATGGGGTGTTCTAAGGAGTCACGTTGCCAAGCACATTTTTTTTCTTTTTCTGTTTTTTGGTGAGGCAGTTGGGGTTAAATGACTTGCCCAGGGTCACACAGCTAGTAAAAGAGAAACTATCATATGGATTTTTTTTGGCCAGGCAATTGGGGTTAAGTGACTTGTCCAGGGTCACACAGCTAGTAAGTGTCAAGTGTCTGGTCTGAGATCGGATTTGAACTCAGGTCCTCCTGACTTCAGGGCCGGTGCTCTATCCACTGCACCACCTAGCTGCCCCTGCCAAGCACATTTTTGTAACAGATCCACCTTCTGTCATGGGAAGCGTGTTGCATTCCTGATCAGGGACTTGTATCTATTAACGATAGGACAGACAGTATAGACAGTGTGTCCTGAAATCCCAAATGGCAGGAGTCTAAACTCCTATAATCATTTAAAATAGGGAAACGACCCTCCCTTTTCCATGAAATATATGAGAATGAATGGAGTCTAAAGCGTTAATGGAAAAATGGAGTGTGTGTGTCATGAACGTGACTCCTACAGCCCTACTGTGCTCAGTGCCAGCCAGAATAAACCTGAGGCCGTTTGGGGAAGGGCAGAGCATTGGCCTGGCCTCAGCTTCTCGGACAGTTCCAGTTGATCTCCTTTCTCTTAGTGAGAAGTCGGGGTCGAGATCCCTGCCTTTCCCACAGATGGCTGTTGTGATGTCAGATATGTGAAGGGGGGAAACTGTAAACAGGGCCCCTGACACCAGGGCGCCTTCATGCTCTCCGTCTGCTTCTCCCCAGCCAGGACACCTTCATGGAGAACTATTTTACCAGCCAACGGGACAATATTTTCCGCAATGTGGAGGTTCTGATTTACGTGTTTGACGTGGAAAGCCGGGAGCTGGAGAAGGATATGCATTACTACCAGTCATGCCTCGAGGCTATCCTTCAGAACTCCCCTGATGCCAAGATCTTTTGCCTCGTGCACAAAATGGATCTCGTTCAGGAGGATCAGCGGGACCTGGTAAGAGCAGCCCCCACTTTTCGAGGTCCTCTCTGTAGGCAGAGCCATGTACAGTTGGCTCCTTTTTGGTCATAGAGTAGGGGGGATAGTTATACAGCCCAGCCATGTGATGGCGCCAAAAACCCTTCCTTGTTTGACCAGGGCCTCTCGCTTCCTGGCTGCTGAATACTTCTCTGCGGCTGGGGCCCAGGCCCAGGCCCAGGCCCAGGCCCAGGACCTAGGACCTAGAACCCAGGACTGTGCTACAGGAGGAGAGACATTTATGAAATTTGCTCAGTTTGGGGTGAGGGGTGGAAATTAGGGTTACGTTTGTTGCTGTATTCTGAGGTCCCACACAAACTTAATTTAAGACCAAGTTTACAAAAAAGCGTTTTAGTTCAAGGCCTTACTCAGTACTCTTGTAAACTCTGAATGTAGGCTTTGCCTTGGATTTTGTATTCTAAAATGGACAGACCAGTCAAGGCAGCTAACAGTATAACTTGAGCACCCAGTATCTAGGCCTGTGGCCTATTTTTGTCTTCCCTTAAACTTGGAGTTGGGCAGCTGGGGGTGCTTGTGGTGGTTAGAGGGCTGGGCCTGGAGTCAGGAAGACCTGAGTTCAAATCCAGCCACACTTCCTAGCTCTGTGACCCTGGGCAAGCCACTTTACCCTGTTTGCCTCAGTTTCCTCATCTGTGAAATGGGGATGATAATAAGAGCACCTACCTCTCAGGGTTGTTGTGAGGTTCAAATGAGACCAGTGCCATGCCAGGTACATAGTAGGTGCTATATAAATGCTTCTTCCCTTCTTCCCTTCCCCTATTAGCACTGATATTGTAGCTCCAGCAAAGTGAGGGAGGCAAGCCTATGGGGGCAGGGCAAGGCAGGCTCCCTTGGACTTCAGGGGCAGCAGCTTCCACAGCAGTTGGGGTAGAGGACACGGGAGTCACCCTCAACTGGAACCTTGTTTGTATGAATCCAATGCCAGTGAGGGCAGCTGGGTGGCACAGTGGATAGAGCACTGGGCCTGGAGTCAGGAAGACCTGAGTTCAAATGTGGCCTCAGACATTTACTAACCGTGTGACCCTGGGCAAGTCACTTCACTCTGTCTGCCTCAGTCTCCTTGTCTGTCAAATGAGCTGGAGCAGGAAATGGCAAACCTCTCGAGTGTCTCTGCCAAGAAAACCCCAAATGGGGTCATGGAGAGTCGGACGTGACTGAAAAGTGACCGCACAACAGCAGCCTTGCAGTTAGGGCTTAGGGCATTACCTGGTGGATGAGCCCCTCCTGGAAAACCCCCCTCCTGCCATCCCTTCCCATCCCCCTTATCAGAGACCCGTCCCGTTGAGCAAAAAGAAAACCCCCAAGCAAGTGGGTCCCTGCTCGGAGGAGGACCGCGCCCCCTGCAGAGGAGACTCCTTTGGAAGGGGCGGCGGCACTGCTCCCGCCACCTCTCCATCTCCTCCTGCTCCCCCTCTGCGATCCCTTTGGCTTCCACTGTACCTTAAAGAGGCCCGTTCTCCCTCCCTCTTTCGGTCTCCCTCTCCCCCTCCCCCCTTCCCCCTTTCCCCTTCCCTCCCTTCCTCTCTCCCCTCCCCCCTCTCAGATTCTGTGCCCTGGGGCCCAGAAAGGAGGGAATCAGGAAGTGGGTGCTCCTCCTTTTACAGATCTTAGGGATCTGAGGTCGCAAGAGAAAAGGGACTCTTCCAAGGTCACTCAGCTAATATTAGTAGCAGAGATTAGACTGAAACCCAGACAGGGTTCAGTCTTCTTTCTGCCATTCCTTCAAGAGCCTGCAGACAGCTAGGGGGCACCACAGAGCACTGAGCCAGGAGGCAGGAAGACCTGAGTTCCAGTCCTGCCTCAGGTACTTCCTAGCTGTGTGACCCTGAGCAAGTCACTTAACCTCTGCCTCAGTTTCTTTTTCTTTTTTGGGGGGGGGAGGGAGGGTTAGGCAGTGGGGTTAAGTGACTTACCCAGGGTGACATAGCTAGTAAGTGTCATGTGTCCGAGGCCGGATTTGAACTGAATCCAGGGCCGGTGCTCTATCCGCTGAGCCACCTAGCTGCCCTCTGTCTCAGTTTCTTCAGCAGTAAAATGGGGATCGTAAAAGCACCTACCTCTCCCAGGGGTGTTGTGAGGACCAAATGGGGTCATGTTTGTGAAAGGCTCGTAGGACAGTGATTGGCATGTAGTAGACGCTTTCAAAGTGCTTGTTCCTTTCCCCTTTCCTTCCCTTAAAAGAACATTCTATGGCTCCATTGTGCTTTTAGAAAGTAGAGCCAGAAGTTGGAACCCCATTCTCCTGGCCAGGCCAGAGAAGAGCGACCTGAGCTGCCCATTTGGCTGCTGGCCTCCAGCCTGTGAAGGGGCTTCTTGTATTCCAGAAGCTCTTTGATGACCATATTTGGAGTTTGAGCCATCTCTGATGAGTGCTCGGGCAGCAGCCACGAGGGGGACACCAGGAGCTGGACCGCGTTTCCTAAGCTGCCTTTTCGAATCGAAGGCTCCCCCGGCAGCGTAGGAGCTGACACTGTTCTGAGGCCTGCATCTGTAGGCCGGAGAGGCTGCCCCCTCTGCTTAACAGAGCACCTCTGAAAGCCCTTGTCTTCTTAGCCCTCATTGCTGAGCACAGGCTCTCTTACCTTTGGTTCCAGGCTCCCCTGCTTGGAATGTGCTCAGCCTGCCCTTGCTTCTCCACAAGGCGCAGGTCTGGAGTCCTGCTGTTGCCTGCATCAGGAAGCATATGCTTACAGTCTGAGAAGAAAAGGCACCTGGGGCCAGTGGCCTCACTAGCCCAATAGCAGCCTTGTCATCATACTGGAGACCTAGCAGATTTGCTTCCCAGAAGCTATGCTCATGTTAGCCGTTTGGCCTTGGACCAGTCACTTCTTTGTGGGCCTCAGTTCCCTACGGTCTGTAAAAGGAAGAGCCAGGCCTACTATGGCAGCTTGTGGCCTCATGCCTGGCCCCTGACTCCCTCGTACCCTGCTTAGGCCCTGGGGCACAGAAGGCTGTGTGATTGGTCCCAGAAGTTAGTACTCCTTGCTGACCTAGAAGAGGAGAAAGGAGCAAGAGAAAGCAGGGAGAACTGCCTGCCTCTGACAAAGTGGGGCCCCTTCTGGGGAGAGGCGCTGGCCTGGTCATTGCCTCACTGCTTCTTTTCTGCTGCTCACGGCTGACTGACCTGTCAGGGCAGTCACCAGTCCCCTCACTTTCTTCTCAGGCCATTAGTGCAGCTTAGACTTCACTTTCCTCCCTTCCAAACCTCAGCCCATTCATTAACCAGTTCACCTCCAGTCCTTGAATTCCCTTGCCACCTCTTTCTCCCCTCTCCCCAGCCCTGGATTACTCTTCCCATCTGCTTTCTCACCTGTTCATATGCTGTGGGCTGGAGCTGGAGGAGTCCTGCAGTTGTGCTAAGCAAATACACCCTACATTCATGTTAATCAGCTTCAACTGGGCCCTCACTACAGCAAGGCAATCCCTCTGAGCATTTCTAATTTATTTGCTCTCCTTGCCCACAGAAGTGATTCTAAACCTGTTCTGCTTTCTTCAGGCCATCTCCTGCAGCTCCCCCTCTACCTTCTCTCCATTGAGGACCTTGCCTCTTGCCTAAGAAAATGGAGGTCATTTGCCATGAGCTCCCTCTTCTCCCCTTCCCTTTTTCTCAGAACCCCTTGACATCATCTCCCACTCTCCTCTTTTCTCCTAGTCTCTGATATTGAGGAGGCCCTTCTCCTTGCCAGAGCTAAAACCTCTCTTTGTATGCTCTTGACCTTACCCTTTCCCCCTCCTTCTGAGGATTGTCCCTCTCAGTAATTTCCACTGCCCCAGTCTTTAACCTCTCTAGTCTGGGTTCCTTCTTTCTCTTACTGCCTTTGAATATGCCCCCCAGGTTCCTGAATCTTCATAAAGTCTTCCTTAGATCCTACTATCTCCTTAAGCTCCTGGGCTTAGCTCTCTTCTCTCCCTCACTCTATAACCCTTAGAAATCTTGCCTCCTGCTTCATGACTCACCAGAAGCTGTTCTCCCTCCAAAGTTGCCAATGACCTCTTAATTGCCAGCTCTGGTGGCCTTTTCTTGCGCCTTATCCTACTTGACCTCTCTAATTCATTGGCCACTGTTGACCAGCCTCCTCTTGGTTGTTTTCTCCTCTCTGGGGTTTTGGGACCGTGTTCTCTCTCTCGGTTTTCCCTCTACCTGTGTGATTGGTCCTTTTCGGTCTTCTTTGCTGGTTCCCTAACCTTGAGGTCTCCCCACCTCAAGTCTCTCCCCGCTCCATTCCCTTCTCCTTCATTTGTTAAACGGCTTTTCCTTAAATGTACTTCCCTACTCAGTAAGCTCCAGAAGCTGCCTATTGCTTCAAGGATTGAATATCGATTCCTCTGTGGCCTTTAAAGCCTTTCACCAACTGGCCTAAGCCTGTCTCTCCAGGTTCCTTTGGATTTGTTCTCTGTATTCATTGTAGACATACTTTCATATGTTCTTGTTGACCCCCCGCCCCCCAATTAGAATGAAAATTCCTTGAGTGGAGGGATGGCTTCATTCTTTGGACTCATATTGCCCATGCTGGGCACGAGGTGGTCCACCCACTCCAAAGGGGGATTTCTAAGAATCACCCTGATGTTGGAGTTAGTGGGGCTAAGCAAGGAGGCAGAGGTTGGGAACAACATGGTCGAAGAAACTCACTTAATTGTTCAAACTGTTTGTTAAACGTGCTTCTCAACAACCCGCCGGAGCTAGGGGGTCCTCAGACATCCACCACCTCCCCGTCCTGCCGGTGACTGCGGAATCGCGGAATCGGAAGCTGGAACAAGGGAAGGCCCTTGGCTCAGATGAGAGCTCAGCTCTCTTGGAGTCCCAGCCCACGGCTCTTTTCTCCTGTCCTGGGCGTGGTCAGCAGTTCTGGCCTCTAGCAGAATAGGTCATCTGGCTTTCCTAGCAATGCAGCCTCTGTTCTAACAAGTGGCGTCAGGCGTGGGTGAGGAGCGGTGGCCGAGCGCGTGGATCATGTGGAGCCTCTTCCGTTTCACTGCGTGGGCTCCCAGAGAAAGTCCTGGATGAGATTCTTGTCTGCTCTTAGCCATCTTTCTCTTAGCCAGACCACCGTCTCCTCTCACTTCCCTCGTTCAGTCTTTCTGGAAAACTCTCTGGACAAATGAAGTTTACGGGATCATGAGTGCAAGAGAGACACAGTCAGAAACAAACACACAGAGTTCTGGGGGGAGCGTCTACATTCCTTTGCTCGATGATCTCAACGTTATATGAGCACTCAGATTGCTTTACCCGATGGCCCTTCCAAAGGGGAATGAGGGTCAAGCCTTGGGCTGGCTCCGTGTGGCAGGAGTGGGGGAGACGAACCTCCCTTCCTTCTTTGTCATTGCTTCGGCCGAGGTGGGGAGCAGGCAGAAAGGATGGCTTCTGTCAAGTTGGTAAGATGCTGCTGAGCCGCTTGGGAGTCATTGGGCCGGAGCAGTGAGAGCTTCCTTGAGGGAGAGGGAATTTAGGGAGTGTCAGCCGCTGAGCCGATCCGAGAACTTCTTTAAAACAGCTCACTCATTAGCGTTGGGCTCACTTCCTTCCCCCATTTCATAGTTGCCTTAAAATGTCCTGGGCTCTCTTAGCACCTCCCACTGCTGACTTATCTTCAGTATAATGTGTTCCATGTATGGAAGGATGTCCAGGTCAGGTGTTCCTTACATCTTTGGTGTGAGTGGGGAGCTTCAAACTGACCTCACTTAAGGGCTTTGGAATCCTAGTAGTTCTACTTCAGTCCTGACCAAGAGCATCTTCTGGGGGCCTAGCCTTAGAGGTCATGCCTACCTACCTACCTACCTACCTATCTACCTACCTACCTACCTACCTACCTACCTATCTACCTATCTACCCATCTATCTGTCTACCTACCTACCTACCTACCTACCTACCTACCTACAAGTTCCCTCAAGAAGGAAAACCAGCTGGTGACAAGATGCTGTCATAATCATTGGATCCTTGGTTTGTTTCCCCAAGGAAAGGCAGGAACGATTACTTGGTCAAATGTGTTGGATCTTTCTTTTTGTTTTTTCTTCAGATTTTTAAGGAACGTGAAGAGGACCTGAGGCGGTTGTCCCGCCCATTGGAATGTGCTTGTTTTCGAACATCTATCTGGGATGAAACACTGTATAAGGTGGGTACTTTCTCTCTGAGTTCTCTCAATTTAGGATAGGAATCTCCAAATCATGGAAGGAAATTAACAGAGTGAAAATCTTACTCTGATTCCTGGCTTCTCTAAGTTTTGGAGAAAGAAGGCCTAGTGTGAAAATTAAGCATCACTAGTCACTTAAACAGTTTCCTAATAATATCAGGATTTTTGTGCTTAACCTCAATTAACTTCTGGCAACTGGGTGGCACAGTGGACAGAGCACTGGGCCTGGAGTCAGGAAGACCTGAGTTCAATTCCAGCCTCAGTCACTTACTGACCCTGGACAAATCACTTAACCAATGTTTGCTGTAGTTTCTTCAACTGTAAAATGGGCACCATAATAGCACTTTCCTCTCAGGGTTGTGGTAAGCATCCAGTGAGCTAATATTTGTAGAGCACTTAGCACAGGGCCTGATTCCCTTCCCTTTTTCTCCTTCTGGAGTCTTTCCCGAATCTTCAGATGCTCTCCTGATTTGATAGAACTGCAGGTTTTGTTAATACTTATTTTGATAGTGATCTTCTTGGCAGCAAAATGGTGACTGCTCCCTGACCTGGGATCTGTCCCCTGGAGCTGGGATAGAAACCTATTCTCAGGGCTGAGGGGAGCTGGCACCTTAGTGAGATGACATCTGGCCTCCCAGGAACTATGTCTACGATGGTAGGAACAAGTGGAAAAATAGCCCCTGAAAGGTTAAGTGTAGGCTCATGTGGGGAGTATCTTAAACAGGAGTTAAGCGTGTGTGTGTGTGTGTGTATGTATGTGTATATGTATGTGTGTGTACACCCATCTTACAGGGAACACCCATGTGTACACACACACACACACACACACACCCCTTTAGAAAAGTTTTGCCTTTCCCATCCCAGCTCAGCTACTTTCCCCAAGGCAACCGCTAAAGGAGTTGAGAGGCTTGATGAATTTTAATGACCTGTGGTGGCCTGGATTTTTCCCTTCCAAATGTTAATGAAGGCATTCCTGAGTTTAACAAAGATTTTTAATTGGAGTAACAATCAGTTGCTAATTTCCATTCCCTTGCATTCATTCACCTCCTTCTTCCAGCAAACCTTTGGCCCCTTGCTTAAAGCCTAAGCTTTTATTGGAGAGTTTAGTGAGAAAAGGAAATCCCACATCTAGGGACTTGCCAGGGGCAAGAAAACCTTTGTAGAAATGCTTGGTTAAATTAGAATGCTGCCTGGCCCTCTGGGTTTCTGCAACAGAACTATTTGCAAAACTTTGTGTCTTGTGGTGGTCCTCCTTTTGCAACTAAAAGTCTCCCAAAGTAGCTGTGGGTTTCCTGAAGCCTCCAATTGAAAGGGCGGAGCAAGGGCTTAACATTCGCTGCTTCTCCTCTCCTCTGCCAGGCCTGGTCCAGTATCGTCTATCAGCTCATCCCCAACGTTCAGCAGCTGGAAATGAACTTGAGAAATTTCGCCCAGATTATTGAAGCGGATGAGGTGCTTCTCTTTGAAAGAGCTACTTTTCTGGTGAGAATCGTTGGCCTCGGGTATGTGTGCACCATTGGGTACTACCTGAGCAGCAGGTGCAGTGGCAACCTTGGTGCCCACCAGCTGTGGGGCCTGGGGCTGGGTGGGGCGTGGCTGTTCCCCATGAGGTCACTCCTTAAAAAGTGGGGCTATGTTGTCGGAACATTTCTTTAGCGCTGAATAATTTTTGGATATTTGGAGGGGGGTGTGTGTGTGTGTGTGCGTGCGTGCGTGCGTGCGTGTGTGTGTGTGTGTGTGTGTGTGTGTGTGTGTACACCTCACTTTGCCGATGGGGTCATTTTGGCAAAGTTGGCAGTATAAAGTGAGTTTCTCCCTAAATTTCTTTGACTGAATTATCAACTGCCACATTGCTTGAAAAGGTGGGTGGTGGGAAAATCTGTGAGCCCAGACTGAACTCCTTGTCCTAGGAGTGGGCAGGGAACATGCCAGCGGCCTTCAGGTAGTTGACCAAAACCACATTCTCTCCTGGAGGGCAGTGCTAGATAGAGGGCTGGCCTTCCTAATCATCCAAGCAGTGTCAAAGTGAAATGAGCTCCCTTGGGTGCTCAGGACACAGACTTCACTGCAGGGCTTCCAGTGGAGGCCAGGCGACCAGTTGTCTGGGATTTCAAAGATGAGATTTCTTGTTGAGGGATGGGTTGGCCCAGATACGTCTGAGATTTTGTGACTCTGACTAGGATTTCCTCCCTTCCCCTTGGTTTGACCTAAGCTACACCTGGGACAAGTAGCCAGTAGCACCACAGGCCTAAGGATGTGGGACTGAAGAGCAGAATGCCGTTCCCCCCCAACCCCACCAGGAGCGGGGCTTGAGCAAACCAACACTCAGCCTGGCATCTCTGGCCTGGGCCTTGCTTCCCCATCCCTCGTGGGGATGGTGAGCTGCTTGAGGGCAAGGACTGTCTGAATATGTAACAAACCGCAAGGCAGGCCCCCTTTTTTGGCCCTTTCTTGGCCGAAGGTGAGGCTGGAGGGTGGCCTGAGCTCCCTCTGTTTCTTAGCAGCAGAGACCAGATGGCTGCCTCCCCACCCCCCACACAGAATCGGAATCTGGGTGCCGAAGTCATCTTGGCCTTAGGTTGGAGATTCCATTGAGGGCTTAATGTCAAATGTCCTGAAGGGAAAATCTTTTCCTTAGTTCTGAGTCTTTCCCCAGCACCAGCATTTGAAAGCATTTGAGTTTCCAGCCCTTTCTGGGAGATCAAAGTGGTGCGAACCCACTCCTGGTAGCCAGCAGGCACATTAGTCTGCACTTTGCCTCTCGGTCCCAGGGCCAGCTTCGGAAATGCCAATGCCAATGCCTGCCAATGCCAGTGCCTCCGTAGGAGCGGCTACTTTTCACCAAGTCCTCTTCTTCATACGTTCCCTCTTTCTCTGCCTCTCTCTAGGTAGATGTGAGGGTCTTTCTCTCTAGCTCTAACCAAGAAATGCCCAAGGCTTCTTGGGAGGGGATTTTCATTAAGTGTTTCAATACTTCAAACATAATGACAGATTCTCTGTTTTAAATGGAATCTTGTGAACTACTTTGAAAAAAGATTCGAATTTAGCATTTTTATAAAGTTTACTTTTTAAACAATAGGGCCCCAAAATAGAAAATATATTTGAGATAATTTAATAAAATCACAACCAAGCCAAGCAGCGTGTTCATGTGGCAGAGGCCCGAGGCCAGGGACTTCCTGCTTGCTCTTTAGTCCAACAGAACAAGTCCAATGCCTCCTCCATCGGCAGCCTGAAGATTCTGCCCTTGCCCACCTTGTATGTTCAGCTTCTTCGTTGTGTCCCGGTTGCCCTCCTCTGCTGAGTCAGCTGCCACACATATCACACACACCATCGGTAACTCCCGGCTTGTGCTCCACTAGAGCCCTTTGAGGTTTTTGAGGTGAACCCTACCACGCACTTGGGAAGTTGATTTTTAGAGCCCACTTGGAAGACTTGACACTTAGCTCTGTAAAATGTCATCAGATTCGATTTGACCCAAATGTCAGATGTCATTTAGTGTGACATTTAGTTTGATGTCATCATGCCATCCATGGCTTGTTGTGACTTACTGATAACTATGTTCAATTGCACTGGGGTGGGGGCGGGGGTGGGGAGAAAGCTAGAACTCCTCCAAGTTGACATTGAGCCATCGATGGCTCTTCTTTGCAGCTGGCCATCCAGTCTGTTCTTAGCCCACCTAATTGTACTGTTGTCAACCTCCCATTTCTCTGTCTTTTTTTTTTTTTTAAGGCAATTGGGGTTAAGTGACTTGCCTGGGGTCACACAGCTAGTAAGTGTCAAGTGTTTGGTCTGAGGCCAGATTTGAACTCAGGTCCTCCTGACTTCAGGGCCACTGCTCTATCCACTCCATTTCTCTGTCTTTTAAGAAAGACTTTATGAGACAACTTTGCTGAAAGCCCCACCTTTTTCCCATCAATGGAGATCCAACCCAATCTAATTTGGAACCTCATTTCTAGGCTTATGGAGTTGCCTGGGGCACTCTGGGCTAGGTGGCTAGGATGTTACTACCGAAGTTGAACTCGATCTCAGGGCTGTGCCTCCTACCACTTTAGTGACCCTGTCCAAAAACGAAAAATAAACTTAGTCTGGTATAACCCGCTTTGGCTGAAGCCGAGCTGGCTTTTTGCGTTCACCACTTCCTTTTATAGACATTCATTGACGAGCAGGGTTCAATAATCCATTCTAGGCTTGGAACAGGGATTGCCACACTCACTGACCTGTAGTGTCGGGCTGCTTTCTTTTCCTGTCTTTGAATAGCTCAGCCATGGCCCTTCTCTCATGATCTGGTACCTCTTGCGTTCTTCCTGCTTTTGCAGAGATCGCCTCTGCTGGCTCCTGGGTCACATCAGCCAGTTATTTCAGTACAAGGATGGAGTCCGTCTGGCTCTGCTGACTTGACTTTGCCATGGCTCTCTGCCTACTTAGCGATTGGCACTGCCTGTCTTGATTTTTAGAAGGTACTGAGGCTTGTTGACTTTTAAGTCTCTTCCTGTTAACGAGCTCAGATCCCCTAATATGCAAGAGAAATCTTCGAGCTTGCCTTTAGCTCTCATCCTGCCCTTTGTCGAGAAAAACCAGTACAAAATGATTGTCAACTGAAGACTCTTCAGGGCCCAGGTTCCAAGCTGTGACTGATGCCAGTGGGCCATGAGTTAACTTTGGTCTTGGAGACAGAGAACTGGGTTCAAATTGCACCTCTACCACTTATTGGCTGTGTGAGTTGGTTAAGGCTTAGTTTTCTCATCTGTAAGATGGGGAGATTGGGCTAGCCATGACCTCTGAAGTCTCTTCCAACAAAAAATGGAATTAGAGCCTCAGCAGCAGGTTAAATGACTTCCCTAGAATCACACGATCAGAGTCAAGAGAGATAGGAACCTAGTTCTTTTCTGACTCCAAGGCCAATGCTTTATCTTCTGCACCTCCCAACTGCTTCTAATTTGTCCTATTCCTAGTTTTGCCCAGAATAGAAATTATTGGAGAATGCTGGTTTTCAATTATGGGGAATGGCAGTTCCCAAGAACCTATGTGCTTGGCAGAGATAAAGTTGGGTTTTGAAAGGGCGTTCCGACCTGCTTCTCGCTCCCCTCCTTCCCCCCAGAGCAGACACTCCCTCTGTTTCTCCCCTCTCCTTGCTCTTCATCAGGGGCATAGCTCTGGGATTTCCACCTTTCCCTGTAAACCCTGCCCAGCAGAGTGGGAGCATATTCCTCACTGCTGACTTTTGCCACTCTGGCCTTCATTCTTGGGCTTTTATGGAAATAGTAGCCCGATTTCCTTATTGCCTCATGTTCCGGGGGGGGGGGTGCAGATTCTGTGTATTTTAGGGATTGGAGGATAGCCTCTCAATTTTCTTTGGGTCTATAAATCTGGCTTCAAATCTGACCTCTGCTATTCCTACTCGTATGACCTGAAGCAAGTCGTGTAGCCTGTCTGGGCCTTGGTTTCCCTTCTAGAAAATGAGTGGTATTGACTAAATGACATTTCTAGGGCCCCTTCCAGCTTGAAATTTCTGATTCTAGGCCTTGCATAAGGAGAGTTTAAAGTCTTGTGTAAATTACAAGCAGTCCCCAGTGCGCGGGCAGGATTTATCAGTTGGTCGTTTAGAATAGACGTTAAAAAGTATTTTAAAATGGGTTGAGCTCTCAGACCAGCCCGCCAGAGCCTATTTATTTTACCCATAATGTAGCTGAACCGCGTGAATAGTAGCATAGAACCTATAACTTATAACATTACTTTGAACTCCCAGAAGTGCCAGGGCAGGGGTCCCAGTTGGTGGGGGGTGGGGTGCCTGGGTCTTTGGGTAGCAGCTAATAGCAGGGGGCGGGATCTTCTATGCCAAGGGGTCAGGTTTTCTTCAGGGGAGGTGGGTCTTTGTCCATAGTGGGCAGCAGCTGCCTGTGGGGGCCAGTCATTAATAAGCCAAGGATCCTTTTGATGGGCATGGAAGACATTTTCCATAGGTGCTCTGTAGAAGCGAATAAACTGAGTCACTCTACATTATGTTTCAAGGGCTCAGATCTATCAGAAACACTTTTCTTAATTTACCAAGGAATCCTTAGGATTGTTCACTGCTCGGTGTGCCCATTTCCCTCCCTCCCACATTAGCCAAGAATCCCAACTAAAGAGCCGGTTGAGGCTTGTCCCTCTCTTAGGAGCATCTGCAGAATTCTAAGCAGCTCTCTGTATGTCTTGCATAGTGGTTGTACCCCAAGAGAGCAGTATTTGTCTGAGGGAAAGGGAAAAGAAGCGAGGGCTGAATTGGTGATGTTAAACCATGACAAATCACCAGCCTGGCCTCAGGGACTCTGATGAGATAGACAGCAGTATCAATCAGGCCAGAAGGCATTTGTATCTGTAACAATAGAAGAATATTCTTTCAGTGTGTTGTAGTCACTTGGCACAGAGACAGTTAATCCTGATTCTTGGAGCGGTGGCTTAAGTGAGTGGGAGCCTTGGAGTGTGGAGGCCGTGACTCCCGAGCTCAGCTGGAGGTTTCGAGAATCTTCGGCTCCTCCCTCAATAGCGTTTCCTCGGCTGCGTGATCCCCAGGCACTTTTTGGTGATATTCAGAAAGCTGGTTGGGGCCTAGCAGTTGGGTTAGGCTGACGTCACGCATGTAGCGTAAGCCTTAAAGAGAAGGGTTTCCCATCCAGACGTGTGCGGCGTCCTCACCCGGGTCCTTTGTCCTCACTGGCGGCTGCTTCTCTTTCTCCACAGGTAATTTCCCATTACCAGTGTAAAGAACAACGTGACGTCCACAGATTTGAGAAAATCAGCAACATCATCAAGCAGTTCAAGCTGAGCTGCAGGTGAGAGCCGCTGGCGCTTTGCAGGTCTGTCCCCCTGTCCATCTCATGGAAACATTCATGCTTTCCCTAGTGAATGAGGCCGTGACTGTTCACCATCTCCACTCGTAGTTTGATGTGGGCCTGTAGAGACACAGCACTTCGCTTAACAACTCCTGCTAACGAGGCCTGCATTGGGAATTCTGAGTTTGTAGCGAGCGGTCAGCGTGGGGTTCCAGGGTAGGATTCTCGTCTCTGCCGTTCATCCATTTCAGTCGTGTCTGACTCTTCATGACCCCATTTGGGGTTTTCTTGGCAGAAATACTGGAGTGGTTTGCCATTGCCTTTTCTGGCTCATTTTACAGATGAGGAAACTGAGGCAAACAGGTGAAGTGACTTGTCCAGGGTCACACAGCTAGGAAGTGTCTGAGGCCAGATTTGAACTCAGAAAGAGGAGTCTTCCTGACTCCAGGCCTGGAGTTCTATCCACTGCACCACCTAGCTGCCCCCCACCTAGTCTGTACTCGGGTTCAATGCACAGTCCCTCTTGATTAACTCTAGCCTCGCCTAATGGCATCCTGTGCTGGCTTTGGCTTTGGCAGAATGTGGCACAGAAGAAAAATCAGTAGGTCTGGAGTCAGAAGATCTGGGTTCAGATGTTGGCTCAGGACCGCGGGCGAGTTTCACCTGTTGAGTCCAAGGAAACACAGGAGCAGATGGCGCCAGGCCTTGAGCTCAGGTTTTTCTCTTTCCAAGCTCCATGTTCTTTTTCGTGGACCATGCATGGAACATGAGCTACTTGTTGATTCGCTGAGGTATAAAGCTTAGTAGGCAATCAGTAGGCTCAGAAGTATGAACTTGAAAATGTCCAGGCAGAGGAACCCTTGTAGGAGTTTGGTGAAGGGTTCAGGCCTTTTTTTATGTCCAGGTTCAGCCTTGAAGTCCAGTGGGAGCCACAGACAGTGGTTTTCCACTTAGTTCCTCCTCCCGGACGTGGCCCATGCCTGCATTTTCCTTTGTGGTGCTCACCTTGAGTTATGAGCTGCTATGGCTTGCAAGTTGTAATGTGTTATACATGTTATTCTTGATGTCTCTGGTCTGCACAAAGTCAGTGCTTAATCATTCCATGAAATTGGCATTGTGAGGAGAGTGGACAGTGAATACCAGAATGACATTATTAAAGATGGAGAATAAATCATTTTTGGTGGAAATCTTTCTAAGAGAGAGCAGAAAGGAAGGGGACTTTGTTCTCCATTTGAGCAGACCATGACAGAAAAGTGAAAATTGTTGGTGATTGGTTTGGAAAGAAATGGGATTCTTTCTTTAATTATGACAGTCAAAAGATAATATGTGAATCTTATGGCTAAAGGACGTTTTGCTCAGGCAAAAAAAAAAATCAGATTAACTGCTTTTTCCCCACGTGTTCTGGAACCTTATGGGGTATCGCCCTAATTACTCTCCTTTGATTTGCATTTTGGTGCTGTTTTTCCTTCACCGTAGTGAGCACATTTTCTTTTAATGTTCTTGGTCTTTTTTGCTTCCAGGTTGTCCTTCACTTCTGTGTGTTTGAATTCCCAATCTATTATTCTCTCTTGTTTCTTTGGTGAGGCTTGCCATTGCAGATTCCAGTTTTTCTATTCTCATTATTTTTGTTGTGCAGGGTATAAACTCTGCTCTCATAATTCTCATTTCTCTTTTGAACCACTTAGGAACAGTGTATTGTAGTTCTATGTTCTTCTCACATTCCACAGGGTCCTCTGTCTCATCAAGTGTTGGATCATTTTCCTTTGTTTTGCAGTTATTTGTTCATGGATCCCTGAACTAGTTTACTGGATTTGGAAGCCATATTTTCTTCTGTTGTTAACAGTTTTTCCTCTTGATTTATGTTTATGTTTAAGGTCTTTGAGTTTTCTTGTTCCTGAAATCTTTGGTCCTTTCAGTCTTTCCCCCCCTTTATTTTCCTTATTGCTCACTTCCTGACTTTCTCCCTTCTGATGGAGGTTTCTTTGGGGACTGGATCTCAAAAGTGTGTCAGCTTCTTCCCACACTGGGTATTTCATGGTTCACCAGCCTGGGTCTCTGGCCCAACTGACTTTTGGGTAGTCAGAACTGTAGCCAGCTGGATGCTGGACTCTTTCCCTCAGGCTTGGTGGAGTACTGCATCCCATTTTACACACACACACACACACACACACACACACACACACACACACACACACACACAC